TAGGTCTTGTTTAGGTTTTATGTCTGTCTTTGAATTTTGACTTTTAAAGTGATTTTATTCATTTTTAGTTTAGTCGAACTGATGATGGAGCTGGACTCCGAAACGTTTTCAATATCGATATGGTGAATTTTCTTGGCGTTTTCTTTGCTTTTAAATTCCTTGTGAACTTGCGATATAAGCAGACTAATGATATAAGTACTTACCCTTTCGTTCTTATGTCCATTAGATATAAAATCAGCAGTCAAACGTGTGACCTATTCTATTTAGAAAATGTGTGCTTCACAGAGCGTTTATTCAGATCCAGTGTACCGTAAAGGTTAAATCTTGCTAAGCACGATATTTCGTTTTAAAATTTTTCGGCAAGTGGCTTCATTAACTCGTAAACGTTTATTGTTCATAAAACTTTGTCTACAAATTTATGTGCAATTTGCGAATTCGTAACTTTCAGCGATTAATTTCTGCTAAAACTTCTTACTGTTGAATAATTTTCGAGAGTAATTTCGTATCGAGTTAAGATAGCATCGAGGTGGGTTTCTCAATTTCAGTTTTAAAGGATCATGCAACTTATTTCATGCAGAGGGAATCATTCTCTGACAGAAGTGTCTGTGAAAATGCGACTGCTTGCTCTGTGAACCCTGGTTCAGGGTTCAAACAGACGACGACCGCCGTGTCGCATCGGCAGTCGACGGACCAGTCTACAGTCTAGTCATTCTAGTGTTCTGGTGGCCGTGGTCGAGTAAGGTTGTGTGTGTATGTGTGTCTAGGGAGTTAGCGCCTCGATGCTGACAACCTAAGGCCACAGCTTGACATTACCGAGAGTAGCGTTAGGGACGAATATGGGAAGAGTGAATATGGCTTTAGTGTAACGTTAGGGCTGAAAATAAATCGAAAAGTTAGGTTATAATCTGGAGAGTAGCTCCAGGACTAAATACTGTGTGAATTTGTAACGCTAAATATGGAGAGTAAAGTTCAGGCTTTATGTGGAGAGTAGCGTTAACAGTGGAAATAGGGAGACAAGCATTAGGACTGTTGATGGTGTGTAGCGTTTGAGCAGAACATGGAGAGGAAGGTTAGATGGACGTGGAATAAGGAAGAGTGTTGAAAATGAACTTGAAGAGTAAGGGGAAGGAGGGAAGTGTATCTATAGGTACCGTTTGGGACGGAAATGGCGAGTAACATAATGAATTTAAACAGAGAGAGTGTAGTGTTTGGAGGTAAATTGTGAATATCACTGTAAGTGGAAATGAATAGTAGCGTTTGGACGGGATTCAGAGAGAAGCCTCTTTTTAAATAAGTGGGAGTAGCGTAAAAATTAATACGGACTTTTGTTTATTATATACGTAACGTTGGTTTTGATGATGAAATGTAGCGCAAGTGATGGTTGTGGGAGCAACGTTGGTGATAATGGTTGGTTGTAACGTGTTTGTGGCGTTTACGGAGAAATTATATTTCGTCGAATGATAACGATGTGTTTGTTACCATGGTTGATGATGGATAGAAGCGTCTGCGAATATGGGAGAACATAGGGGTTAAATTATTAATACAGCTTAGCTTTTAAATAACCTTAATTCGATGATCGAGAGAAGGAAGTCATGCATCGAATCTCGTGGATTTTTTGTCGATTGAGCACAAAGAACGCAACGAGAGATTTTTAATTTTCTTACTTTGTGCGGTTTCTGATGTCCTTGATTGCCTTGAATTGCAATTTTTACGAACATTAGTGATATAACATCTAACTTATATTTTGGCATCGAGCTAATCTCTAACTTTCATGTAAGTTTCATTTACTACCCAATTGGAGGTTCCATTAAGAGCAGCGTGTATGCAGATCTAATAAATTACTAAAAATTTTATCAACATAAATCACATCATTCATCAAGGCTTGAACTACAGTGCAAGTTTCAAGCATTGCTTCCCGAAAACACCGAGTGAAAATTGCGAATAACTTTACGATCCAGACAAGAATATGTCCAGAAACATATTCTTTTCCAGAAACATATTCTTTTCCAGAAACATATTCACACAAACTTGAAACACTTGTAGGTGTTCGGTATCCAAGATACGAAGCAGTGGTCCGACAGCACACGTAGTCGTGCGTGCGTTGACTCGCGCAGCCCCGTTAGCCGGCGCGGGACACGTGAGCCGCAGGATGCGTGTCACTCGACAGCGGCATCCACGCGTCTTTGTTTAGTCACTACATGCGTTCGAGTTATTCATACATCTTGTTACAAGTGCGTAAATACGTTCGATTACACTTGTTTTGCTCTTACTCGATGAATTTTTGAGGTTTGTATATCATTCACCTTTCAGTCATGCTGTGGAAATAGGTATTTATTATGAAAATGAAAGAGAGTGTTTGGTCTGCTAAGAATTAAACGATGCTTTGTCCGTGTTATGCTCGGCTAGTCTGCATCTATCCGCTGCAATGAATGCCAGCATGCATGCGCTCTTAATTAATGCTTCTTCGCAATGTTAAGACTGTATGTGATTTACCATTGAATATACCACTTTTTATATTGTTTGAAATTCATGTCTCAAATCTCGGTATAAATTTCGATGTCTGAAACTATTCAAAACTTTCTGGGCTGCAAATTTTCACTCAGTGTTTTTGGAAAGCAATGCTTGAAACTCACGCTGTAATTCAAGCTTTTTGTGACAGCTCTGCATGATTTTGACACGCAATATTAGGCGCCGTTTTGATACGTTTTCTTCCGCGTTCTGTTCAAATCTTAAAGAGCTTCACTTTTACATGAAAATTATCCAGAATTCAACACAATTCACTGGTTTCGATTCATTCCACAAAATAAAACGAGTATTGTTAAAATATTCTTTGTTAATTTGATCATTTTACTTGCCAGGATGGAAACTTGGACTCCTTATGAAGCTTGGACTTGGAATCCTTCAACAGTTTAATAGCGCTGTTTTTTTATGTCTGTCATAAATTCATAATCCTTGTCACAAACTAAGAGCTGCGATCTTCAGCATGCCAGCTGTTCAAGTAATATCGAGGTTTAAAATGTTATCTGTATTGGTGCTTTAAAATTGTGCGTAGTTTCATAGCCTCATTGACTTTGATCCTTTTCATTGAAATTATTAAACTAATATTATTCATGGAATTCTGTTTAAAAATTAGACTTAGGCATCAAGCGTCCTTCAACAAAAGCCAGCTTCAGGCTAGCCACAAGTCGCTGTGGTCTTTCATTTTTTCCGCGTCCATGAGCTTTTATTAGCCTTGCTTCTCCGACGTAAATCCGTTTAAGGCATCCGCTTCTTTCCTTGTACTGTGCTCACTCCTCACGTACAACTGCAACAGCGCTGTGCTCGCTGCTCACGTACAACTGCAACACGCGCTGTGCTCGCTGCTCACGTACAACTGCAACAGCGCTGTGCTCGCTGCTCACGTATATCGGCAATGAGCACATTAGCTACTCACGTATAGTGACAACAAACGACGTTATTGTTGCTCACTTAAAACGGCAATAAACTTTTCATTTGCTGCTCACTTACAGAGGAAAAGAGCACTCACGTTCAATTGCTCAGCTTACATTTTGTTAAGGTTTTAATTAGTGTAGTTTTTACAAGCGAGATTAAAATACAATTTATAACTAAGCTAGTCACGATTTGAAATTTTTAAATGCATCTCACATTATAATTATTGTGTCAATTTCCCATTTTCACTTCCCATTCTACTTTGATTCCTGCAAACTTCTTATGGAGAAAATTTCACTTTCCCTGGAAAAAATCATTATTTGAAGTCCTTTATGGTGAAAAATTTTCAATACTACACACATAAGATCATAAAAATGTCGAGAAATGTTACAGAAGTTTGTTGTCGTGCATTGTGAGTTATCTCAGCTCCATTACAATATCATACGGTAAAGCTTATTGGTGCTAAAAATTCATGGGATTTATTTGAAGTGACACAGTCGTGCTACTCCACTTGACCGAAGTGAGACTAGATTGAGTGAGATGTACATTTGGTAGTGAACGAGAGTGACAGCCCCTGAACAAGATGCTGGTCTGTTCTTCTTATCAGGAGCCACGCATTTCCGCCGAAGCTGAAGGTAAATAAGATTTTTAAAATAAGTTAACACTGTAAATGTTATTAACAAATGGACTTCCTGTTAGATTTTTCATGTATTCTTACTCTAATAAAATAAGTTTCGAGCTCGCCTGCGGCTTGTCTGGGTGTAATGGTTCATGTCGTGATCGACAACGCGTATCGCTAATTGTCTGGGTGATTAACCAATTGAAAATAACTTTTATTTTGTTTTGAAATTTGATACATTTTTCTTCATTAGAAAAGCCATTTGTAAAAATTGTCATTTAGCTTCATACATCTTCAATGCACTTGCGTTGTAGTTTGGCACAGAACAATATTGATTGCGGATGTTTACCATTGCTTCGTCATCATGAGAAATATTAGCTTAAGCAAACCTCAACTCCTACGGCCGCTAGATTGTTAACAAGTATTGGCATTGCTTCAACTGCCTGCTTGATCTTCATTCCTGTGCCACAAGCAAAAGTTGACACGCCCGTGATGGATTATCTCGACGACCACTTCCTTGATGTCTGCCACGTGCAGATCGCTCTGTGCGCCATACCTCTTAACGAACGCCAGTTGGTTGCTCGGATCGCCTTTATCGTAGGCCAATGGATGGCATAGCTGAAGGCGACACTCTACTCTGACCCTGTAGTGAGTCGCCTGCTGCTGTACCAGACTGCGTCGTCTGCTGCTATGCCAGACTGCGTCGTCTGCTGCTGTGCCAGACTGCGTCGTCTGCTGCTGTGCCAGGCTGTGTCGTCTGCTGCTGTACCAGACTGCGTCGCCTGCTGCTAGCTGTGCCAGACTGCGTCGTTTGCTGCTGTGCCAGACTGTGTCGTCTGCTGCTGTACCAGACTGTGTCGTCTGCTGCTGTACCAGACTGCGTCGTCTGCTGCTGTACCAGACTGCGTCGTCTGCTGCTGTACCAGACTGCGTCGTCTGCTGCCGTATTTCGTCATCTGTGGTCTTCAGTTCTACTTTTAATACATGTTGACGAACACCTTACTTTCAATTTAAAATCGTGCAATAACATTATTTATCATCCTAGCATCTCTATTTACGGAATCCTGACCTTCAAGTAAATCGACACTAATTAAAAATAAGTATTTTCTCATAAGTGCTTCAGTTGTAGGTGGGCTGAAATTCTTACATTCTCGCGTTGTCTTCTTTTGTGCAATCGATTGATTAATTGGAAGTAATTATTGATTGATTAATTTTGTTCATGCAATTGGAAGCAATTATCTGCTCCAAAACGGAAGAGAAATGAATTTGTTCGTGTAATTGTAAGCTATTACCTTCTACCAAAATGGGAAAATATGACATTTTTTGTACCTCACATCAGTTGGTGAGTTAACGCAATCTGAATGAGACATTTCAGCTCATTTTTCTTCCTCTAGCTGTGTTGAGGCGGTTACTTTGTATCATTTGCTATTGAGACGTACGCTTTTTTCCGTTCAGTATATAGGTTTAATTGAACGTGAATGATTTTTCTATTATTCGCTTCTATTGACGAAAGTAAACTATTTAATCTGAAGAATAAAAATGTGTGAAACGTTCTATCTGAATAATGGATCTTCCTATCCGTATTCAGTAGTGTTTGTAAATTTATTATTTATTCATTAACGTCTTCAATAAATTCTATTAAATTCATTCTTAGGTCGTTATTGGTACGCGGCCTGCGTCTCTCAGCACGCCCGTACATGTTAAAGTTGTCAGTTCTAGTGGCAATTTTGTCCGCTGCACGACGCTTGTCGCATGTTGTTTGTTTTAACTCTAAGTCATGTGGTTCCGACATTCTCCTGATATGGTTTAAGTGGCATAATTCTCTCATTTTATTTGTAATTCTGTGCTTGCGACGTATCCATCCTTTTGATCCAATTACTCGTGATGAATTTAGATCTCTACGCGTCTTGAAAGCTTGAGTAAATCTTTGTTATCTACTCTAAATGATAATTCTATTCCACAAAACATTTTATTTTGTATGTTTTGTATTTCGTTGAAATGATAAATATTTGTTAGCTTAATCCTTAATCTTTATTTTAATTTTAGTTAGCTTAATCCTTAATCTTCGAGGTTCAACCGAACTTGGTTATGACGGTTGCTGTGTACACTCCAGCCGCCAGACGACGCCTTCTTCGTCGGCTCTCCGTTGCAACTCTCCTAACAATACAGTTAATTGGCGGCACCCCTTATATACTCCGATTACGGAAAAAAATTTTATGGACTGACCCGTACAAATATTTTCAAGCCGTACTTAACATTGACTTTTCAGGCTCATTGCGAATCAAAAACATAGTCTCGGTCCCACTAACTGCCTTTCCCAAGGCATCTTGTCCCGCAAATTCTTGAGCTCAATCCCATATCCTGCCTTCAATTGCCTAATAACTCTGTCACTCAACTTTTTACACTTCACGACGCTATGTTTAGTGTTATAAAATTAGACCTAGTAACAATCACCTACGCTCTATTGACTGAGATTTCATCCAGCGTCGTCGAGGCTAAAATTATGGTACGATAACTCCCTTTAGAATATTAACAAAATCAGGGTATGTTTGAAACATTTCCTAAGAGGTCAACGAGGACGACTCGGGTTTTCGCACCATGTAAGCGATGCCAGCACCGAAGCCGTGTCGGTAATATGTTCCGTCGTGTGATGCCGTTTATGGCGATCACGTTGTCTGTGCAGCGCATGTCACAGCGACTATAAGGCAGACAGCTGCAAATTGTTACTTTCACAGGTTTGGTCCTAAGAATCTGAATAACCGATATAACTTAACCAAATAATATCAGTAATTTCCGACATATGAATAATATGCTTTTGTTTCGTTGGGAATTTTAACGAAAGGCATCTGATTCTTAAGTTTGATGGTAATTTTCTAAAAAAATCTCTAATTCTACATAATTTTCTCAGATTTAGTCAAGCTAGAGAATAATTTTAACTGTGATGATATTATCTATTAGTATTCGATTATATATGATTAATTCAAGTCGAAAAGACATGATATTTATGATACATAATCACCGAAATCCAGATGTCGTGCTGGAGAGTTCAAATTTATTCATGACATGCATTCACTAATATCCTGACTGTATTTTAAAGCGTTCTCCGTTATTTATCATATGCGATCACTGGTACGATCAAATGTACATACAATTATGGCCATCTGTATCCTAAAATCCTACCCACAAAATATGAATAATGGATGGTGAATTCACAAAACCCCCTTTAGTGATACAATAAGTCCTTGAATATTTATTAATTGCCCAGAGTCCATGAAGCTATTCCCTTTTTCGGCACGCCTTAATGCAGCTCGGGATCGTTAAATATTATTACACTTTAGAAACGTCCTGTTTTCCTTATGAGATATATTGGAAGCTTGCGTCATTTCCCTGACGGGGAGACCTTTGGTCGTGAACAAAGTTTGACTGTCGAAATGTTGAAGAAAATATCCCCGCTTAGTTTGTTAGTGGCTAATTTAATGATGAACAATGTTAAAATAATATTTTTCATTGTCTCGAGAAAATTGAATATAGATATTGTCCCTCTTCGTTTCCCTGGTCCTAGTTAAATAATGAACAATGTTACATTAACTTTTTTCATTGTCTCATGAAAACTAAAAGTAGTATTGTTCCTCTTCATTTCCCTACTCGTGTTGCCTATCCACTAAATCGTCCGAGTATGGCCGTCATATTGCAAGTTGGCATGTGCCATGCAAAATGAGGTGCCGCAAACACCCAATCTGCTTCTGTTCGTCTGCCCGTTGATACAGCGACTGCCCCAAGTCTCTTCCTGATGTTGTGTGCCGTGTTTATGGACACCCACACTTGCCCCTATATGGCCTCGCCCACCCATAAAGTGCGAGAGCTCCCTGGTGGGTTGCCGTACATGGACTGCTATAGCGCACCACCCCACCGTACCCACACACCATGCAGTATTATGTTCACGTACACGCGCACCTCTGAGCTTTGAATTTGCCTCTGAAATGCTGCTTTTTTAACATCGCGCACTTGTATTTTCCCCACCCATTATTTATACTACTATTTCCTCTAGGTGTTTTACATTCATACGTTCTAAGAAGTATGCTGAAGTATTGCGAGAACGTGTTGTATATTTACTATGACGTTCTCATTCTGAGTTGTGCATAGAACTTCTCTGTCATCTTTTCATCCTCTCTTCTACTGCTTGTGTTTTACACCCTCCGACGTGATTATTCCACCACCGTCTTTAAATCCTGCCTGATATTTTTTTGCTCATGTGATTTTGATTTTCTAATTGCATGTTTTTATTCGATGATTAGCACTTTGACGAACATAGCCATCCCAGGGAAACTTCTTTGTCGTAGTAATATTATTTCATTATCATGGTAAACTGTAATTTAGTCTGTAACTTATTGAAATTATATCTACTATCTGAAAACATCATTTGTGTGGGTCACTTATTTTAACACTATTATAATTCAGGAATCTATAAGCATATGGGCAGTAATATTACTTGCATTATAATTCAAACAACCAAAATGTATGGGTAGTAATTTTACTTGCATTATAATTCAAACAACCAAAATGTATGGGTAGTAATTTTACTTGCATTATAATTCAAACAACCAAAATGGTATGGTCTGTAATTTTACTTACATTATAATTCAGTCAAGCAAAATGGTATGGGCATTAATTTTTTCTTGCATTATCATACAGGAAACGCTAATGGAATGGGGGTAATTCATCATGCGCTCTCTCCTAAAGGACTACCTCTACAGAACAGAATCCTAGGCACGTACGATGTTCTCTGTTCCAATGTTGAGTGATCGAGTGTACCATTTTTGGTGTAAATTATGCCGGTGCTTGCACCTCTAAATCCGGTCGGTCTTAGTAAAGAACTGTTCACAATTTAACAGCATTAACTATGATTCATTATGTTGCTAGCTAGCACCTCTGAATTCTAGCACACTCAATTACCTAATCTTTTGATTATAATGGAGTTAAATAGCATGATATGGAAGTATTCCTTGCTTGCAGATC